AGAATGTTGTAGTGTAAAAGTTAGTAAACTGATCAGGATTTAACTCTGGAATTGTAGGGATTTTAGGATCATCCTGCTAAACACTGTAGGCCATGCTGGTTTGTTTAGATAAAGGGACAGAGCTATCCATGATGGTTTTACTCTGTTGTGCTCGTTGCTTTCCTTCTCTTTTCCTCACCTCTCCAAGTTATGGCTCCGTATAAGATCTATTGGTGTAAACTGCTGCTCATTGGATCTAAGAGGAACAATTTTCTGCAGCTCCTTCACACTGGTTTGAAAGGAAAAAAACACCACAACCAAACATTCTGCTTAATTAAGACCTAAAGAGGCGGTGCAAACTTTTGATGATTAATTGAAGCATGCTTTAGACTGATGCATATTTAGTTATTATAATGTGATAATTTTATCTTGTTACACAAACTACTCCCTTTGGGAACATGCTTTAACACTGCAAACACTCTCTGTTTATTGCATTGTTCATTATGAAAAATACACAGGCTAAAAACCACAAGGAGATGTATCTGAAGAGTATCTGTGTGGCGGGTGCAGGGAGTACTTCTTCCATCTGTAATGACACAACCCAGGGGCAGAAAAACACAGTATTGGAACTCCCACAATAGCTCTCCCTATGAAGAGTTGAGAACTCAGAAAAGCAGAGGCTGGAAATTCAGATCTCGTACTACATGTGGAAGGAATATGTCTTTCTATTACCTTGTGTAATTATAGAAGGCAGCGGTATGGATGTTCTGCTGAAAAATCTCCTTTTACCGTTCAGTTTTCTCTGTGCCAACTCCTCTCTGTCTCACCTGTATGACTACCCACGCTACCTGTCATAAGTGTGACAGAGCTGAGAACATGCTAAGCACATTGCAAGAGCAGGTCATAAAGTGGCAAGAGCAGATGGAGAAAAAAAATACAGTTGTTAAAATATATTTTCTTTTACTTCAGAATGATCTGTACCAGGACTTGCAAATGTTATTTTCATACTTTGCAAACATGCGTCAGCCTAGCTATGTGAGTCCTGAAAGTGATGGTGAATGATCTTCATCAGAGGAGCTGCTCCAGCGAGAACTCACATGATTGATATAGGTCTGCTGTCAAGATGAGCTCATGTTACTCAAGCAGATATGCTAGGCTAGACTACCAGTGAATGTTTGTCTGTGAGCGAGGGAGAACATTGCCAATGTAGTATACCAATGTAATTATTGTGGAGAAGCTTCCTTAGTGCAGACCTAGTCAGAAAAAGATTAGAATAAAAATTCAAGACAGGTAAACAGTCTCAAACTACTGGATTCAAAATTCCCTGCTTCCCTGTGTTCTCGTCACAGCACGTTCTTCTTGCTATATGCTCTAGGGATGGGGATTTGATATATTTTCCTGAGAGAAGGGTAAGAGTCTGGTAAAGTGATTTTTAAAGAATTCGGCCTTATAAACAAGGTCTGTGAAAAAGTGAGAGAAATTTTCTCTTGAATGAAAGATACGACTTTCTGGTTTCAGATTATTCCAGTTTCTGTTTAGCAAAAGACAGAAATTAAATCGTGAAAGTTTGGCTTTTCTTATTTCACACAGTCTTGAAGTTTTGAGTTTAAGTTATTGCTTCCCACTGCTGTGGATTGTAATGGTAGAAATACATGGACTACCACTTTTCTGTTAATGTTGCAGTCCTCTTTTTCAGTCATTGAGCTTAATACCCTGTAACGAAACATCGCTATTGGTTATTTTCACAACATCTGCTCAGACCTCTAGCACAACCAGCGTCAAGAAGGAAAGCACATGGTCAGGTTTGGACCTTTATCATTGTGCCCAGCTGTCATCCACACCCGTAGGCCAAAGGGCATGGCTCTGTACCTATCGCAGGTACCAGGAACGGATCCTTTTCTATGCTGTTCTTAGCTTGATTTGAAGCTGAAAAAATGGATTTGATTTTACAGCAAGTCTTCCTCTCACTGGGCTGCACAGGGCTCCTGTTGATGGTCTGTAGGGATTTAGTCGTGTGATACTGGATGTTTTCTTTTTTCACATGATGAACTGCATTACAAGAAGTTAGAGTTGCATCAAAAATTGGCTTGGGCAAACCCATACCTGCAGGAGCAAAGACGATTTAAAAAGTGACACATTAATGTACTGTTCAGGAAGTGCATGCTTCAAGCCCACTTCTGAAGTACTGCTGTTTCCTAGCTGCTTTATGTGACCATACTCAGCTAATCCTTTTGTAGCAGTTTTTCTGAGTCTATTAAATGGAAAAAGCATCTAGTTTTATTATTACTTTGCTATTAAAAGGATTATATTGTGTGTGACCATTCTTTGGTGACTGGGGTGAGAAGGGAGTAGAAGAGAGAAATGAAGTTCTTGGTGTTTAGGCAGATTCTTTCCTTCCCTTTCTCCCTTCCTTCATTCAAAATGATGAGCATTTTGATTTACATTGATGATGCCTCCTGGATATCAGCTGTCTCTTCCTGGAAGTGCACACAGTGGCTGGAAGTAGTAGTTTGTAGACCATTTTCTGCTGTTTTATTGACTATCAGATCCATGGACCATGGACTATGCTGCTTCAAAGGATTCCCTGTGAGGTGGTGGTGAAGTTCTGTTGGTCAGGGCATGGAAGACAACCATCTGACAGTAGGTGCCTCTCCCTCTCTTCTTCCCTTGCCAGGATCTATCTTAGGGGAGGTCTTTGACAGAAGGAGATGGCTTGAGCTTTACTGTCCTGCATAACCTCCTGCAGAGAAGAGTGTAATGCAGCTTTTCCATGTAAACAGCTGTGACTGCTGCTGGGGTGCTGCGTAATAGAAAATGGACAACAATGTAGTCTTTCTGATCACCCACGGGAGACAGTTCATGTGTGTCAGTAAACGGGAGTTGAGTGATAGCTGAGTTGTTTCCTCTATGAAGTCACACGTGAAAGCCCCTGAGAATCCCAGTGGTGGAGCTCTGTGCTTAAAAACTGTGCCCCAGATGAGCCAGCCTGCTTCAAAAAGAGCTACCCTTGCACCTAGTTTGCCAGTGAACTCTCTTTCAGCTCTGTAATTTTCTTTTTTCATTTACGACAGTTACTCTCACCAGAAATGAAAGCTATTAGAAAGGTATCACTGGTAGATCTTCTATTTTCCAGAGGTAAAATACTTCCTATCAGTAGGAGAATATATGTTGCTGTTATCTGAAACAAGACATCGCCGCCTGTTTCCTTTGGTTCACAGGATCTTCTGCTGTCCTGATACCTTCAAAGGGGCAAGTTCAGCCTGTAAGGAATTGGTTTATTATGGTGCAAAAGTAGCTGAATCAGGGCGCCTTTGTAAAAGCGTAGTACTTCAAATGGCTCAGGATAAAGATGGTGGGAAGAGCTCTTGGGCTGTGCTAGAGTAGTTAGCATCCTGGCCAAGACTGGTCTGGAGAGAAAGCTGGGACAACACCATGCAACACCACTGTAACAGCACCCTGCTCTCCTGCTGAGATTACAGCCAGCTCAAGGGCAGGCTTCTTGACCCTATAGATGGCTAGTGATAATTTTGCCAAATTGTTTTGATTTCCCTTGATGTTCAATATATGAAAACGTTTATAATATTGGCAAATCCCATTCTAAAGGGTAAGTGATAAAATACGTTGAACACAAATCTGTGTTATAACTTAGCTTTAAATATAGGTTTAAAGGTAGACTCTGAGTAAAACTAAAAGGTCATTATTTTACATTGTACAATTTTATTTGTAGCTATAAATCATAACACAGTTTATGGAAGGCAAAAAATTATTAAACTGGCAATATTTATTCCGTTAAGGTGAATAAAATGCAGCATGTAGTTCTGAGTTATGATAGCTGGGGAAAGGAGCCAAATCACTCTGCTAAAAATTAGTTTGCCAATAATTTCACAGAAAGATGACAGCGTAGCTTCAAAAACAAATCCTTTATAGGGAAATGGGATGGCTGCATGACAGACTCTCTGAGCTATGAATTCTCCACAGCTCATGGACCAAGAACTGCTTTAACAATTAGTCTTCAGGGATCTTTTTTTCCCAGAAGTTGGACAATGGCTGCTGTCTGTAACTGAAAGGTCACGGTGTATCATAGACTGGGCATAAGAACTGAAGAGTTCTGAGTTTGAAGTCAAAAAGATTCCTGCTAATTTACTGTCTTGATCTGTTTAGGAGGCTTAACTATTCACTGCCCCTGTCTGTGAAGCTGGGTTGGGAATGATCACCACACAAGGATATTGCAAGTACTTTGGTAATAAGCCCCTACTGGGTTTTTCTTGCGTGGCAGAAAGTGTACATGCCACATTCGTAACACACATTAGAGAAGAGCTTGAAAGAGGCTCAGGAACTCTGCCTGAATTAAAATTTGACCAATGAGCATAATGACTGGGAATAACCCACCAGACTTTACCACAGTGCTGCATCTTCCTTCTTGCTCGAATCTGTGTTTATGTGGCTGCTATATGCACATGAAAGCTCCCCATTTTGTACACTAGTCATTATTTCAAAACAGGGAAAAGGGGTGTTTCATGTTCCTTCTTATTTAGAAGAGGGCTCTTGTTAGAGACCTGGCTTGGTGCAGTACCTTCCTTGTGTGTTTTATCACCAGCTTGCTGAGCAGAACATCTCAGGGGCTTACTACAACAGACTGTAAGTAACAAGAACAAAGCAGCAATACTCATTAAGCCTGTACTCTTGATTGCTTGTTTAATAAAGAGTTGTGCACTTTTAAACATGCTAAAATGCTCTCGAGATTTCCAGAGCTTTTCAGCAGTGCACCATTTTTTAAGCTAATAATCTTTTCCAGCCATCTTAGAAGCTTTGCCAATCTGCCGAGCCTGGCTGGCACAGGTCACCGCTGGCTGCCTGAGGATGAAGCTGGTGATCACAGGCATGCATAGTTCTGCCCTCAGACAGTGAGGAAATTAGAAATACGATGAGCCGGTGCTGGTTGTGTCTAAGAGTAAGTGTGCAGATGTCTGAGGAAGGTGTTTGCATCTCGTGTAAATATTGTTCTTATATTTTTGTTGTAGAAGATGATGTGTCAAATGTACAAATAATGTGTGCCTGGTGCCAGAAAGTTGGAATCAAGCGCTATTCCCTGAGTATGGGAAGTGAAGTCAAATGCTTCTGCAGCGAGAAGTGCTTTGCAGCTTGCCGAAGAGCATATTTCAAGAGAAACAAGGTAAGAGAAATAAGGAAAGATGTAACCTACATAGCCATAGCTTTAATCAGGCCCAGCCTGGGTCTCATTTAGCATCTAATAGAAGCTCTTTTCTTTTGTTTTCTCTGTTTCACCTAGTACCTCCACTTTCCATCTGTATTGTCTGTCAGACTGTCAGCCCTTTACTAACCTTGTTTCTTTCAGTTTTCTTCACCTCGATGCTTGGGTTTTGTGAGAGTCAGGGAATTTAAATACTAATAAGTATTAACATAAACATCCCAGTTTGTCCTTACAGTCTCAGGATCCTTGCTACGTATACACAACTAAGAGGAGGTATAATGGAAATAAGAGTAGAGGGGGGTTGCATGACAGTGTCCCTAAGTCCTGTGGCATTGGGATCATGGCCAGTGGGTAGATGTTTTTAGGGTCTCAGTCTGGGTCCCATTACGATAGAGGACATCTTCCCGCCGCTGCTAGTGAGCTCTAGTTTCATTCTTTTGAAATGTATCATTACTAATAAATCATCATTGCTGCAAAATTCAGACAATATACATTTTTTGGGTTGGGGTAAGCAATGTTAGAACATCTAGAGTAGCGTGAAAACCCCTCCTACTCAATTTAAATTTAACTCTGTCTAAAATTAGAATGCAAGCCTAATATTGAATGTCTACAAAAATTGCTGTAATCACTGAAGTACAGTGCCTGAAAATGCCCTCTAGGTTACTTCAGCAGCTGTTTTTCTGCAGCAGAATGTGCAATATGTCATTTAAAGAAAAATAACGAAGGAATGCTCCGGCATTTTTAGTTGTTGAAAAAGTAGCTGTGTCCTTTTGGTGCTTAATAGTGTGAGTCTTTGGGTGGCCTTTATTGTCCTAGAAATGTTTATTATTCATAAAACCCTTTACATTTTGGTTTTCTAAATGGTGCCATTTTCCTTCATGCTACAGAACATTCAAAGCCTGTCAAGTTGAAACTGAATTCAGGTCTCTAAATCTGGTCTTTTACATCTGTGGTAGTAACAAATAAGTACATGATGTACATGTGGATCCTAGATTCAAGATGCAATGTTATAGCAAATTACCCTCCTTTACAAATTTGGGTCATCATCCTGCCAAAAAAAAAAAAAAAAAAAAAAAGGGAAAAAATTGCCTGAAGAATTAGGTTGCAAAAATCAGTAGAGTGGAATTTTAGTGGCAGTCTTGGAGAATCAAGCTCATAATGTCTACTGGAGCAGACAGGCAAGTTAAAGTCATGTGAGTCTTCTGCGAGGAGTGGTGTTTACATCGTTTTTATCTAGAAAAAGTGTACAGGAGGGAAATATATGCTCCTTAGGCGCTCCCCATTTGAAAATAAGTTCCCATGGATGTATGTGTTTGTGCACACATGCCCATTTATGCACATGCATTTTGATGTGCCTTACAATGTGTAGGACACCTGGGATTACAGGATCCAGATCACCGTTAGGTGGTGCTCCCATGATTTTGGCTAAGATAGTTCATAGTAATGGAGGCATTGTCAGTGATCCTAGTTGGGTGGTCTTGTGTGTCCAGCAGTGATGAGTATCAGATAATTCAGGAAACCATGGGGATGTAAATGAAAGAACAACCAGTTCATGGTGGATTCTCTTTCATCTACAGCTTAGATTCTGAAATAGGAGGTTTAGGTCCCTTACTAAATTAAAATAAATACATGTTAACACAATGCATAGGTGTACTTCATCCTTCTACTAGCCCATGAATAGTAGGATTCAGTAATGTTATATGGCCATGAATTCAATCAGTCAGGCATTATATGAAAAAGTTCCCTTTTACTGACTTACAATTTATTACCTGTGTGCTTTGTTGGTGGCCTCTGTGTCCTTGTATTATGAGAAAGGATGAATTAGAGCATCTTGTTCCCCCTTATTCCCTTTCCTACACTTCTATTATCTTCTGGAAGCTAAAAGATGCTGAATATTTCCATCTAGAAAGCTCTCTGAATTCATTATTTTGTATATACCTAAATAACAGTAGATGTTCCTAATCTTTTCATAGACCATCATATCTCAGTGAAATGTCCTATTCTTCACCAAAGAGGTTACAAATTAACAAAACGTCATATGGGAGGACTTGGCAAAGCACGGCGAGATAGCATAGAATTGATAACATGTTGGTCGCTGCATTGGCTCCGCTTCAAAGCCAAGCCAACGAGTCAAATTTTCTTCCTCTTTGCACCTGTGCAATCTGGAATTGCACAGGATCTGACCCAGCAGGGGAAATCTGGAGCTGCCCCTTTTAAGGGTATTTATGGCATTAGCTGATCAGGGGACAGAATATTTAGGGCATGCTGCCATTAAATTAAGACGGGTACAGTAGAATTCAGCAGACCCTCGTGCTTCTTGTTTTGCACTTCACCTGTTAGTAATAGCGTGGAGTCTTGAGGAACAAGATCAAAGGAACAGGGCTGCAATAGTTTCAGATTTAACTGCTGACCTTTAATCTGTTATTACTAGTCCAACAACGTACCTGTCTTCTCCATTAGTCTAATGCATTTTTATGTATTTAAGAAGCTATGCCACTCTATACTTTCTTGTTTTTCAAACGGAGGAGTAGAATAATCATGTTTCACCTGCCTTATGTATGTTTTAAACAGCGGATCTTCGCCACAGTATAGTGTTGTATTGCGTTAAAATATACAGCTGCTGCGTTTTTAGGAGCTGATAGGACTTTGTGGTCACTTCATTTAAGGCTTGAATTTCCTAATGGATCGTGTTAAGCAGTCTTCCCTCCCTCCCCTAGATAAGAAGTGCTGTAATAAGTGCTTGCTTAAAATGATAGGATTGTTTAAACAGTAAAGAATAAGTCATCACTAATGTCTCAAAATGGCACTAAGTAATGCTGCAAATTATCCATCCGTAAATGCCAATTCAGAATTAGGACTTTTGTCGTCATCAGTAACAAAATCTTCTCCCATGCACAGGGCAAATACACACTGAAGTGGTGCATGCCCACAGATTCCCATCTGGGAGAAGGCTTGGCGTGACACCACCTTGAAGTGCCCCTGGAGAGCAAAAAAACTGCTCCAGAAAGCCTGTGTTAGCTGGACACTGACTGCTCCCAACCTCTCTTTCCCAGCCCTCTCCTGCAGCAGGTTTAGCAAGAGTAGCAACACAGTGGAATAAGCCAGTACCCAGCTTCATGGCTGGGACGGGGAGTTTGTGAGGAAAAAGGCTTGTGCAGTTGTAAGTTGCTTTTCTTGTAAGAAATGCAAATTTTGCCCCAGATATTCTGCAGTCATGACCATTTAAAATTAACTATATTAGCAACTATGTCTTGCCAGAACAGAAAAATACATGTTTTGAAATTATAAAGGATCTCCCCACAGAGTGCAATTTTATCTAGATTACCAGAAATAAATGAAGAAAAAAAATTTGGGGTTTTTACCTGTTAGGCAAAAAGCAAAGTATTTTGACTAGATCCAATTTAGAAAAAATCTAAAAATACCACCACCACCCCTAAACATAAATAACTGAAGTCTGCATTCCTTCTCCTGTTTGGTCTAGTATGTGTAGTCAAATACACATAACAAACTACTGTATAATGACAACACGTTGTGCATAATAATAATAATAATACCAATTAAAAGAAAGCATTGCAAGAACAGGGAGCATTTCATACTAGTGTTTGTAATTGAAGATTTGAGATTTGGAGCTGTTCTGATGCTCCCTTCCTTAGAGATTCAGTTTTATAGGCCAACTAATATGAAGTTAAGTACCAAAGAGGCACATAAGGGCAAAAAGCACTAGACCACCAAGTTTCAGAATATTAAATTTAAAGGGAACGATTGGATTCATAATTGGATCCAGTGAGTTTGAAGCCTGAAAAGATTAATTTTGAAATTAGGTTTATTGACTCAATGGGTCAGAAAACAAATATATTATGACCACATAGCCAAACCTAGAATGAGGACTGAATTCATAGAGGTTATAGGCCCTGTTCACAGATATATTAAAGGATAATTTATTTGATTTGACTAAGACACTGGAGACAAAGTGACTGCAAGGCTGTCAGCCGGTATTTTATACTTGACCTTGTTCCTGTTTCTCACTGCCCCCCAATCACGAAAAAAAATGATAGATGTTTCTGTTTACAGTGCAGTCAAATTTAATTTATGCTAATAAACAAAAAGGCATAAGTCAAAAAGTAGAGGTAATCTACTGTTTAGCAGCATGAAGATGTAAACGATGTTGGCTCTTTTCTCCCCGTACGGGATAGTGGTGGGCAGCACCATGTGTGAGTTTGTAGCATAGACAGGCAGTGTGTTTTATGCTCTTTTATCTCATCTGTGTAGCAAGAATGATTGTGAACAATCAAACGGGGCTGGAAGAAGTCGTACGCATTTATTTAGTCCCAAGTTCTGTTGCATTAGACAATTCCTTACATTTTCAAATTATATTTAAAGATGATAAAGTGTACACAACATCATAAAGCCTTGGTACTCCTGCCTGAGTAGTTTTTTGGTTAATTAATGTATATCACTGTGGGATTAATATGGACATGTATATGCAAACACGTACGAAAAGCTGGGAGTAGACAGAAGCTATCGTTCCCCAAAATTATTGCTGAGGGTTGTCAGAGAAAGTTTTCTTGATTTCAGGCTTAATTGTGCAGCCTAACAGTGCATAAGAAACATTTAACAGTCTCCGTGTTAAGTCAATGAGTAATGGCAAATAAAAAAATGTTACTTTCTTCTCTTTCTTATGCATCTGCAAAATTTAATTTGTGAAATGATAATCATTCATGGAAATTTGGAAAATTGCTTAAAGCAACTTGATGCAAGTAATGCCCCTGACAAACAAACAAACAAAAAAGAGCTTAGCTGTTACATCTGCCTTTAGAGTCCCTTTCCATAATAAGTTTTGAAACACATGGGGCTCTGAATAGAAAACCTATTTCTCCTAGAGATTTAACCAGAATTAATTAGGTGTTCAGAAAGGTCAGTGTAGAGCAGGTGCCCTACCTGGTTTATGTGAAATTGTCCAT